TTTCTTCTAGGATTGTAAGAGGAGAGGGAAGGTGAGAGATTTCTTCTTCATTACACTTCTAAGAGAGAATTGAGTGTGATTGTAAAGAGAGAAAGTGCTTAAAATGGAACTTTTAAGGATTTGCTTGAGAAGGAATGTGAGATAAGTTGTGTTCTTTTCTTTCTTTCTTTTGTAAACTTATTTTTATATATGAAATACGAATTTTGTCGTATCTTTTTCATTAATTCTGAGTAGTCTTCTTTATCTTTCCCCTTACAATGAGATATGGTTTTGTGAAGAATTAGTTTTATTTTGTAAGATTTTAAATGTCAATAGATTATGATGATTTGAACTCTGATCTTCATTTACTTTTCGATATGACCAATTGAAAAGTTAAAATTTATCGAGAAACATATGATCCAAAATTGTTATGCTTTTTACAACAAGTAAGAGTCACATTCAATTTCATGGGCGAGAATGTAATCCATGGGTTGCGTGTAAATAAATAAGGAAATATACTTTGATGGACATCGAATTAGAGATTTTAAGGTGACAGATTAAAATCCCTAATTTGGTTTAGTTGCTTGGAAACTAAAGCGAGATTGTTAGCCCTCAAGCGAGGGAGAAGTGAGAGCTCTGGAGTGAAAGTCAGTATCCTCTCAACCTAACCACGGATTTAGGGACCAAACTCTAGATTAGTCAATATTTTTTATGCACTATGAGAGGGTAAGAAATATGATTTCTCCTATTTGACACAATACAATTTTATATATGTATTTTAAATGATTTTAATTACTTCACATAAAAATAAACTCATTGTAAAGGGGAAATATGCTTTTTTAAATTTAAACTCTTCGTTTCAAAATTTTGTTTAGTCTTTATAATTTTACTTTTGAAGTTTAGTAATTAGTTTAGTTAACTTAATTCTTTTAACTGCATTTCACTTAGTGTACATTAACTTCCCTTTAGATTTCTTTTGCTTACTTAAGTTTTATAGTTTGAATATTTTTTTTGACGTTATAACAGTAAGAATATCCAACTCCGTATGGGATCGATACTTATGACTCCATTAGAGCCCTTTATTACTTGAACGATACGTATACTTGCGTTATTATTACGGGTTTGACAACTTAGAGAATTTAAAAGATAAAATTACTTATAATGAATTTATTTTTATTGGGATTGAACTGCATATTTACTATTAGTGTTAACTGACCGCCACATCACATGACACACCCATTCTTCAGGCCTCTGCCTCCATGACACACCCATTTGTCGGGCCCCTGTCCCCTCAGCACACCTATCATTTAGAGTCATTACCTCCATGACACTCCCATTTGTCGGGCCCTTGCCTCCTTAACACGTTAGTCCTTTCAAGTCACTACCTCCACGACACACCCATTTATCGAGGCTATACCTCCTCGACACTCCCACCAATTTTGGGCCATTGCCTCCAAAGTACACTCATTTATCGGGCCCCTGCCTCCTTAGCATGCCTACCCTTTCAGGTCACTGCCTCTATGGCACACCCAACTTCTTGAGTCAATGCCTCTACGACATACTGATTGTCACCACTTCTATCATATGATCGTCTATATTTGCATTTACATGCACACATGGATAACAAGCTATTCTTGGTAGGTGAGTGTAGGCGTGATTCCTTAAAGAGCATTTCTTGTTGGGTTGATCCCAAGGAGAAATGCGAGTTAAGTCATCAGAATTGACACGAGTTTTACTATGTTAATGATCCAAGGGCTCTAAGGTGGGTCATATGCATCACATCCCACATTAGAGGTCTACTATTTTAAAAGTATAAATTGAATATTTTTACTATTTACTATTATTTGCTTACTTTTAGAACTATATAAGTTATGCATTAAATGAGGCCGCTTATTTTAAAATGTCCCCCATCTCTCATGACGTGCTTTAGATCCCTTGGATTTTCAGAACAAGGCCGGAGCGGTGACCCCATTAAAGTCATATAGTAGTTTGAGACTTTATCATTTGCACTTAAATGCTGGTTAGGACACTTTCTCGTTAGATAGTGTGCTAGGCTAGGAAATTGGATGCTAGGTAGTTCTTTTCAAAGGCTCTAGCTAACATTCTATAATGTTTTTGCTCTTGTGCTAACCAGTGTCACATTTTGTATTTTTTGGTGTGCTTGGATGCACGTTGTGCATGGTGGTATAGTAGGGCATTCTTTTGCATGGTGTCGTGTCTCTATATACACACACAAGCTTGTAATGATTTTCGTGCAGGTGCCGGTGCTATTAGCTCCTCTGATTATAAGGTATGACCTATTTTACGTTGCATGGCTTTCCCTGCTAACACTTATTTTCTGCAAGTCGAGTCTTTTATTTTCTTTTTTATATATATTTGATAGAGTCTTTAGGCTGAGTCTGTATCAGAAATAAGGTACGTACACTGGTTTCAAAGTGGATGACGCATCAAACCATGTGACAGGAAACGGGAGCGGCAGCTCAAGTCCCCTACTTTAAGTCCAAATTCTATATTCTTGTACAGATCTTGGATTGGGCAAGTATATGTGGAGTCTAATTGATTTTCTTGCTTTTTCTGTGATATGTTGAAGACCCAACAACAATTTGAGCATCTTTTATATATTATGGAGTGTTTTCTTTCATGTGCCTTGCATGCCGGGATTGCTTTTTATTATTTATTTCTGTGCATCTGGGATTCCATGAAAATTATAATCTATGCTTATTAACAACTCTAAACCTAAAATTTTTATACTTAAAATAATCTTAAATAAAATATTCAAGATAATTAAAAATTAGGAATAAAATATCCAGAACATTAAAATTTGTCTTTAACTTTATTGCATTTAAAATGGGATGCATAACATGGATATTACCCAACCTAATTTTCCACAAAATCTAAGGATCTCTCTAGATAACTATATCATAATTGTATGTCCCGAGGAGGAACCCCTGTGCTTCTTCAACCCGATTGGCTCGACATACCTTTTTACATAAGAGGTTGTCTAGTGCGCTTAGGTCGTTATAAGGCTCCTCGATCCTGATAGGGTGTATGTCCTTTTATCAGAGCTTTTCTAGCTTTGCAGTTGAACCTCCATTTCTATTTCTTTCCTAAGACATCCTCATCACTTTGGCGGTATAAGTCCCACCTCTTGGAGCTTCAGCTTATAGTCATAGGATAAAATTTTTTTTCTTTTTCTTCTTTTGACCTAAGGGCTATCGAGATCCCTTATGGACGACACAATTCATGGATTGCTGACCGGAGATCTCAGAAAGTTTTAGGTTGACTATCTTCACGACCAGGTAGACTTAGGATCTTAGTGGCTTGGGATGATGGGTTTATGGTACACTGACCTCTCTACCTTTTAAGGATTAATCCTCCCCTCATTTGACTACCCTTGTTGAGCCTTGTCTCTTCTTTTGCCTTTGTTTACATCATCACGATTAGTCGATTATTGATGAGCTGCCAGCTGTCTGAGATTCAATAATTTATCCTCTACCCCTATAGCCCATATGTGCTTTGACGTATCGAGATCCTCATTGGGATGATACGGTTATTTCACATGCTTTAAATGCCGATGAGATGTTGACTGACCTTTTTGGATGCCTTATTATTTTTTGATGGAATATTTGAAAACTAAAAATACGTACTCTGCTTCTCTAACACCTGCAGGTTATTGTTTCTATTTTGGTTGGGAGGAGGCCTGAATGAAGCTTGGATAGTAGCTCTAATACCCTAACACAAGTAACATGAGGAGATAGAGGAAACTAATTCTTGATTATCTCATACAGGAGCAACACCTCATATATATGCCTTTGCCAAATATTCTAGTAGCTAGGATTACCATATTACATAAGTTATAGGACATATGCACTTCACATTTATCTTGTCAGACTAATTTAGTGGTACTTGCCTTGATTCTTGGCTGTGAAATGTAAACATTTAAGGGTCATTTAGAATCACATTTAAATTTTGTTTTCTATTCTTTATTGTTAATTTGTTTTGTTTATGTTTTAATTTGAAATAAAGCATGTTTGGTATGCTTGATTACTATATGATTATTTTTTAAAATATAAAAAAGACCCAAAATTTATTTTGAGTATTTTAAAAATATATGTTTATTTATTAAAAATAAATAAATAAAAATACCTTAACCACATTAAAAAAATTGTCCTTAAAAAATAAGTGAAAAATAAATACAAAACAAAACATAAAATAAAATAGACCCCAAGCAAATACTTAGTTATTAGCACTGTATAAAAATTATGGAAGTCACTCTGCTTGCGCCTTTTTTGCGCCATTTGCACTAGAAAAAATAATAAGGCACGTAGGCATCACGGTGGGACCATTGCCTACGTAGTACCCCTCATTGGAGTACTAATACATCAGTACTCCTGAGATAATATTTGAGATTCTTGTTCTATTTTCCACTCTCTCTCCAGCTCGCTAAAACAATTCAGTGGTGATTGATCTTCTACTACATTTGCCTGCTCGGTTCTACTCGCAGCCCCCCTCACACGGCACAGATAAGTAAAGCTTTCATTTTCCTGCTCTTGTTATCCATTTCCTTCACTTGTAAGTCACTGGTCCTTTCCCTCCAGAGAAGAACTAGAGCAGCTTCTATGGGTTTTCCATTCTTCCACCTTCTTCTGTTTCTCATCTTCAACCCTTTTCTTCCTCCTCCTGTTTCTGGCCTCAATGTCGAAGGCTTCTCGCTCCTTACCTTCAAGGGATCCATTACACAGGACCCTGAAGGCTCCATGGCTAACTGGAACTCTTTTTCTCAGGACCCTTGTTCCTGGAATGGTGTGACATGTAAGGCTGGACAAGTTTTCTCCTTGAGCATTCCTAAGAAGAAGCTTGTAGGTTCTATCCATCCTTCTCTAGGCTCTCTTCAATCTCTAAGACACATCAATTTAAGGAATAACAGGCTCTTTGGATTTCTGCCACCGGAGATTTTCTCTGCTGGGAAACTTCAAAGCTTGGTCCTTTTAGGTAATTCCTTAACTGGGTCTCTTCCTTCTGAGATTGGCGCTTCGTCTTACTTACAAGTTTTAGACCTTTCCCATAATTCTTTCTTCGGTTCCCTGCCTAATTCATTGTCCAACTGCACAAGGTTAAAGATTCTTGATTTGAATAATAACAATTTTACGAATTTTCTCCCCATTGGCTTTGGAAGCAGTCTGCTTGCTCTTGAAAAGCTAGACCTTTCTTATAATAAATTCAATGGCTCCATACCTGCTGACATCGGGAATCTCTCAAACCTCCAAGGAACTGCTGATTTCTCCCATAATCTGTTTTCTGGGCTGATTCCAGAGAGCCTCGGCCATCTTCCTGAGAAGGTTTATATAGATCTGACATACAACAATCTAAGCGGCCCAATACCACAGAATGGCGCTTTAGAGAATAGAGGACCAACTGCCTTTATTGGAAATCCCGGCCTGTGTGGCCCTCCTTTGAAGAACCCATGCTCCTCTTCTGATCCTTTTCTTCCCAAGGAAATCACTACTTCTCCTCCCAACCAAATGGGCTATAACTCAATCAAAAATGGCGATAGAAGAAGTAGGCTGTCCTTCAGCCAAACAGCTGCATTAGTTGTGAGCGATGTGGTTGGGATTTGTTTGATTGCGCTGGTGTTCTTCTACTGTTATTGGAGGGCGATGGCTTCAAAAAAGAATCAAAGTTCTGCCATTTCTGACAAAGAAGTTTCAAAGACGAAGAAGGAATGCATTTGCTTTAGCAAGGATGAATCCGACACAATATCTGAGAATGTAGAGCTTCTCGATCTCGTGTCATTGGATCCTCAAATGAGTTTAAGATTGGACGAGCTCTTAAAAGCTTCGGCCTTTGTGCTCGGCAAGAGTGGGATTGGAATTGTGTACAAGGTTGCATTAGATGATGGCTTAATTCTAGCCGTTAGAAGATTGGGAGATGGAGGTTTGCAGAGGTTTGGTGAGTTTAAGGCTGAAATAGAAGCTATTGGGAAGGTGAAGCATCCTAATATTATTGGTTTGAGAGCCTATTATTGGTCGGTAGAGGAGAAATTGCTTGTTTATGATTATATACCGAATGGCAAGCTTTCTTCGGCAATTCACGGCATGTCCTCAAGCTTTAGTTTTTATTATCCTGATTGTTTTTATGCTTTGTATGATTTACTTGTTTTAGTTTGAATTAAGTGGATTGCATTTTTAATATTGGATTATGGCTTGTGTTTGAAGTTTTTCTCTTAGGCTGTAGAATTTCACAAATTTTCATTGAAGGATTTGATTAATTTTTCAAAATAACTCTTTTGATTTGTCCTGTTTGATCCTGTTATGGATGCTCTCATCTTTATTTGTTAGGATTATAACTATTGCATTGAACCATAAAAGTTATTTCATTTCAGATATATTAGAGAAAACTTGATAGTTTGTTCAGCTTTTGCGAGTAGTATATAATATTGAAATTCATGAATTCACAAATATGATCGTCATATATTAATGGTTACATTCGTATGGTTTCAGGCAGAGGCCCTGGGCCTTCCCAGCCACTCACCTGGGAAATAAGGCTAAAAATCATTAAAGGAATAGCCAAGGCCTTGTCCTTCCTCCATGAATTTAGTCCAAAGAAGTTCATACATGGAAACCTCAGAACAAACAACATACTTCTCGGTCAAAACATGGAACCGTACATCTCCGACTTCGGACTCAGCCGCCTCACAATCCCCTCTGGTTCATTCCCATTAGCCCAACAAGATAGAATCACAGCAAAGAAGCATAAAAAACATAAATTTGAAATCTCTGCAAGCTCTGCCGCATCATGCTACCAAGCTCCTGAGGGTCTGAAAACCATAAAACAATCTCAGAAATGGGATGTTTACTCTTATGGTGTCATATTGCTTGAACTGATTTCTGGTAGATCTCCAGTCGTTCTGCTGGAGACATCAGAGATGGATTTAGTGCAGTGGGTTCAGTTCTGCATTGAAGAAAAAAAGCCGCTTTGTGACATACTGGATCCTTTCCTGGCTCGCGAGCCTATGAGATTGTATTTATGTTTTGTAATCTTCAATTGAATGCCATGTGCTGGCTTAGAAGGTAGATTTGCTTAAAAACAATGGCCAACAAAGTGATTGTGGCAAAATTACATGTTTGTATAAGATTTGTAGTATTAAGTAAAGAAGATGTTATCACGTCGCTGGCTTCAAATTATGGCTTCAAATTATGTAGTATTAAGTAAAGAAGATGATCTGGTCAATTAATCATGATTAGAGACGTCTCTATTAGAGACTTTTGTTTGATTACAGCCTTGTTGCCAACTTTTACGGCGGGATGCTTCTCGCAGTCAGATATTTTAGACGCCATTTCGGATAGATGGTAAATATTTATGCGTAGTCTCTTCCCAATAACCCTTTATTGTAACCCCATATTGGAGGTTGTTATGGAGTTATTTGATGTTATTTGGAGTCAATACGCTAACACCAAAGAAAATGTGAAAGTGTAACCGTGGAGGATATTACTCCAAATAACGCCGAAATAACTCCGCAATAATCCCCAATAATTTTCACAGAGGTTATTTTAGCGGTTATTGGGAGGGGATTACGCACGGAGAGCTGCGTGCATTCTCCGTATGTAAATAGCGCTCCGCTTTAGAGCATGTTCGCTAAAAAATAATATAAAATATGCTAAAAAAATCAGTTATCTTTAAATTTGAAATATTTAGAATAATATTTTATATTTTGAAGCAAAGGTTTTTCTATTATTAATTTCTTAATTGCTCACTTTATTTGTCCTTGTATTATAACATTTGCTTCAATCAATCTTTATTTTTTTTATTTCATAGCAAACAAATTGGCTCGCCAGCTGGTTTGAACTCATAAAATTAAGCTAAAACCCAATTAATTAACTAATAGCAAGCTTGGGATGAGAGTGGCTTAGACTCGACTCAACTCATCTCATTTGCCCCTCTAGCACGAATCCATGACTCTTAACATTAGGGAACAAACAGCGAAAGAGGTCATTAAGACTATGAAGCAATTTTCAGTCAGTCTAGCAAATATAATGTAGCTTGGCCCCAAAATCATGAAGTCATGAATCAAGTCATTAAAATATTTTTGAAGAATTTGTATAATCAATTATATCATCTAATGAACTCTAAATTTGATATATTTATATTCAAATTGAAAGTTTTGCTAATAGAAATTGAAGGAGCTTAAAGTTGCTTGATTTCAAAGTCATTAGTTCTAAAACCCAAAATTTTTTATACATTTTCCTCCAACGCAAATCATCCCTTTCCTTTCCCTCTACATTCCCGATTGGCAACCGCTCTCCCCTGCCACCTTCGTCTCACTGCGATATAAGCTGATAGGAAAGAGAGGACGAACTCTCCTCACCTCACGCTCCTCCTGTAGTCCTCTACCAAAATCGTTGTCAATCCCCTCCTCCCCTCCTCTTGGTTCCGCCCAAAACTATCTCCTGTGCCTTAAACCCTAGCTTCACCGTGTCATTTGGAGTTAGCAGAGAAGGCAATGACGGGATTGTCGGCTGTTTCGCTCCTACCCAAAACCACTGAAAAAGGTAACCCTTATCTTGCTTTGCCTTCCCCTGCACGCGCATCAACTTCTCTGATTCTCGTAAACCTATCTCGAAGGGGATTTCTTAAACCAGGATTTAAGGAACCAGAATAGAATCAAGATTTAAGAACTTGTAGGATTTGAATAAATCATTTATTTATTTATTTATTAAAATTTTTAGGAGTTATGCATGGAAATCCCCAAACAATAAATTCAACAATTTTAGTTTTCTCCCATATCAAAATAAATTAAAAACAAAATACTTTTTTGATTATATTAGTTAACCATAATTAAGTTCATATTTTCTTCTTCTAAGAATGTAATAATAATAATCTATTATATATGCATATTTTAAAACTTTTTAGGTCTATCAGAATGCACCTAATTTAATGAATAAATAATTTTAGTTTCATGATTAATAATATTCTGTTCTATAATTTATGTAGAATCGATAGTCGAACCGTCAAAATCATAGAAGTATCATGTTTGATGTTTCGAGGTAACTGATTTTTTTTAGAGGATAAACGTACCATTTCTAGTTATGGGCGTCGATCCATATTAATTAAAGTAGATTATCGTTATTTTATAGGATTGTCAGTTATGCTCTTGCTACTTCACTTTTATAATTGCTATAAGTTTCAATTATTATTCATAATGAAATCACTAATCTCCTTAATTTATTATTACAAAATTTCTTGCATATTTGAATTAATGTTGCAATAATGACTTCTTTTTGCGCCTTGTACAAAATTAATGTTGAAATATTATGGTTTTTATATATTACACTTGTGGAAACTATTTGTCATGTTTGTATGTAATTATATGAAGGTCGATATAACTCTTTTAGATTTTGACTAGCTAAGTTGATGGGCCCACATGATAATGACTCTACAGAAAATCATCTAGTTTCCTAAAGTTGGTATTGACCTTCTCATTTTCAGTGTGTAAACGGATTATATAAATAATAAATGAAAAATTAAATAATAAGAGATTAGATAAAAAAAATGATTGCATTTTTCCTAATAATATGCATATTTGATATTTACTACTCTTTTTTGCCTTTCAAAACTTATTTATGCAGACAGTAATCATCATTGTTGGTTGTTCATATTGCACGCCACAATTTCTTTATGATTTATGCTTCAATAAATAGTTGTTATTTGCTTAATTTGGTCGTTAAACTTGCTCGCTTATAATTTTCTATCACGAGTTTTTTTTAGCCACTAGCAGAATTGTCTCTACCAGAGCAAGCATTTTAGTTTTAATTTTGGTATTTTTTTTTTATATTTACATAAGCTATTATGTTTTCTTTGTGATGTTTGGGTAATTGTTCAATGTTGTATATTCAGTTTTGATTCAACTGGTTTTTTGCTTTCATTTCAGTTGTATAAATAGGATATTCAATATATATAAAATTTACATTTACCTTTTTATTTTGCATGCAAGTTTTTTTTAAGAATATAAAATAGGTTCATTTTATTTCATCATGCTCTGCTTAGCTAGGGTGTGCCACTTTATGGACCATTGTGTATTAGAGTGGTTTGAGAGCCAATGTTTTGTATTTAACCATTCTTGACTCTGTATCTCATATCCCTTGACTTCTTAGGATTGGGTAGAGGATATGTTATTCTTGTAAGTCATCATTCAAGCAATTTTGATTTCGTGTTTATTTCAATTGCATAGGATGTATCTGAAAAGAGGAGGTGCAGCAACCGCTCGTGGAAGAGGAGTCAAAAGAGCTACTATAAATGATATGCTTGTCTTTATTGGTCTCCGCTCCCCTAATTGTTGTTTTGTTGATCCTACTCAAACCACTGAGACAATTGGAGCACTGAATCTAAACATGAAAACTCTTGTGGAATTGTGACCCAGTTTACTCAAGCACTACAAGCTAGTTTTGCAACTCAAATTGGACAAGAAATCCAAGCTAATCAGTAAGCGATGCAACTGACACCATAAGCCACTCAACCAGTGTCACCAGTTACCATTGTGGAGACACAACCTATCAGCCAAGCTAATCCAAGCTAATCAGTAAGCGGTGCAACTGACACCATAAGCCACTCAACCAGTGTCACCAGTTACCATTGTGGAGGCACAACCTAATCAACCAATGTTGTTGACAAAAGGGAGTATCATGGATTGAGTGATAGATAAATTTCTGAAGACACATCCTCCTACCTTTAATGTAAGATGGACCCGATCGAGTCTGATGCATGACTTTGTGACATTGAGAACAAGTTTCAAGGAAGAAAGTTTTCTAAAGATTATAAGGTGGATATCGTGACATTCTAGTAGCGTGAAGGAGTTGATGATTGGCGGGAGTCACAACTACAATATTTTTTGACCAGCCAATAGTTGTTAGGTGAATTTTGAGAATCTATTTCTAGAGTAACATTATTCTTATGGTAGATCAAGCCAGCTCTGAATGCCTTAATGAAGTTAGAGCAAGGAGCAAAGACTGTTCATGAGTATGAGATAGAATTTTTCAGGATCTTTTCGTTCACTCCATCGATTAATCAAAATGAAGACATAAGATCTACCACATACTTGCAAGATTAAGAGTAGACATTTGAAGGTGCTTATTGACTGTTAAGTGTATGTTCTATGAATTATAGAGAGCTGGTGGGTCGAGCTATGCATGTAGAGATATAGATCAATTCCTGGGAGGAAAAGCATGTCGGGAAGCATAAGAATTATGATACACAAGCTAATGGGAGTTCCTAAAACAAGGAACAACAAAATCACCACATTTAAAAGTCAAAAACAAATCCTCGATGAGTACATTATGGGAAATAACATTTTGGGACTTCTAACTTGATCATCAATAAAAGCTTCAATTGTTATAATCTTGACCACAAAGCTAATTATTGTCCCCTCAAAGTTCAATATTAATTTTAAGTGAAAAACACCCTGGAAAAAGATTCTATGTCTCATCGTGAGAATAAGTGTTATAAGTCAAATGGAGGATAATTTTAAAAGCATCACAAAAAGGGTCAAACAAAGTGAAATTGTTTTTAGCTTCAGCAATAGCCACAACAAGTGGTGGTGTCTCAACTATATCAATTCTATCCCTTTACAACACAGTACTAACAATACTAACAATCTCAACAACCGTCACTTCTGCATCAACACCCTTCAATGATTTAATACTAGTGTCAACAATCTCAAGCTTCAAAGTAGCTAAGACAGGAGATTCCACCACGAGCATTTGTTATAATGCAAGAAGAAGCTCATGAAGCATCTTATGTGGTGACATTTATCATCCCTATTTTAAAGCAACAAACAAGGTTATTATTTGACTCTGGGGCAACTCATTTATTCAGATTGCACCTAGTGCATTGATTTCTTTATTACAATCACATATATCAATCACTCCACCATCTAGCTCGCCTATGGTAGTTACTCAGTATGTTTATGGTTGTAATATTGTCATCAATGACTTGCAGATGCATGCTACTCTAATAGTATTTCAACTAGCTGAGTTTGATGTAATTTTAGGTATGGACTGACTATGCAAATATCATGCCATTATTGATTGTCGTAAGAGATGGGTGATCTTTTATGTACATGACTCTATTGCTTTTTGCTTTAATGGTAATAGAGCTTTTATTTTCTCTCTAATTTTAGTATTTAAGACTTATAAGATGAGCTAATCTTCCATGGGTGTGCTGGCTATCTAGCTCTTGTGATAGATTTTGAGAAATTAAGGGTTAGCTTAGATAGTGTTTTAGTAGTATGAGAATTTGCTCATATATTTTTTGAAGATTGTTCTAGCTTACCACCAAATTGTGAGATCAAGTTCACGATAGACCTGTTTCCTAACACCACTTCAAATTTCAAAGCACCATATTTTATGGTCACTGTGGGACTCCAAGAACTTAAGATCGAATTACAAGAATTGCTTGATAAGGGCTTCATTTGGCCGATTGTTTCTCCCTGGGGAGCACCAGCTCTATTTGTGAAAAAAGGCGAAAACATGCAAATGTGCATATATTATTGCGAGTTAAATAAGGTGACCCTGAAAAATAAGTACCCTCTCCTATGTATAGATGATTTGTCCGATCAACTAAGAGCTCCTGGTAAAGCGAACGTGATCACAAATGCTTTAAGCAAGAAAAATCATTGACGTATGCAAATTTGATGATCACTCAGGAGCACAAGTTAGCATGAGAGATTAAGTGACTTCAGCTCAAAAAAGTGCCGACAAGAGCTACTCTTCGCTTTTATCAACTCTCAGTTCAACTTACACTTGTGGATCGTGTAGCTCAGATGATAGATGTAGACTTACTACATCTTAGAGAGAAAATAAAGAATAGATTGAAATCGATCAGTATGACATTTTAAGATTTCAGGATTAGCTGTGTGTTCCAGATTAGTAAGGACTTAAAATAGAAGATAGGCACATTCTACTCCATATTCTGCTCATCTGAAAAGTACTAAGTTGTATCAAGACCTCAAGAAACTATTTTGGTGGTTTGGTATGAAAGCCACGATAGACATGTCAGATGGTTAATGTCGAACATCAAAGACCTGGTGACTTGTTGAAATCCTTTCCATTCTAGAGTGGAAATGGAAGGAGATTTCCAGGTACTTTGTGGCTGGGTTGTTAAGACCGAAGCACGGACAATATACTATTTGGGTTGTGGTTGATAGACAAACCACGTTAGCTCCTTTTCTACTAATCAAACAAACTTATTTGGTGGATAACTTAGCCAAGATCTATATAGACAATATGTTCAATTTAATGAAATTTTAACTGCCATTTTATCATATTAAGATAAAAAATTTACTTCCAGCCTATGGAAACAAGTGCAAGAAGCTATAGGCACGAGATTGGACTTCATTGATGCTTTTACTCCTTATACAGATAGACAATCGGAGTGCATCTTTAAGACCTTAGAAGTCTTACTGAGAGCTTGTTTTTTATACTTCAGAGGTAGTTGAGAAGACTATATTCTTTTGATAGAATTTGCTTATAAAAACAACTTTCAAGTTAGTATTGAAATAAGGCCTTACAAAGCACTTTATGGCATAAAGTGTAGATCCTCATTATGTTGGTTTGAGATTCGCAAGAGACATATTTGGACCTCAACTAGTGGATCAAGAACGGAGAAGCTTTATTAGATTTGAGATCGACTACATGCGGCTCGAGACTGTCAAATGAAAATCTTTTGCCCAAAGCATAAATAGATTGAATTCAAAGTCAAAGATCACATTTTTCTGAAGGTTTCACTGATGCACAAAGTTAATCGATTTTGTCAAACTAGAAAGCTTCAAACTCGTTTCATTGGTCCTTTTGAGGTGATAGAGAAAGCAGAGTTTCATACAATTTAGCTTTTTCTTCAAAACTTGAAGGTGTACACAATGTCTTTCACATCTCACTACCTTGGTATTACGTGCATGATGATTCTCATATTATCTAGTACGAGTCATTGGTGATCTAAAGAGACTTGATTTATGAAGAAGTGCTACATTACATCTTTGAACATGAAGTTTGACAACTTCATTTTTGCTCTATGCATTTTGTCAAACTATTTTCAAAGAACCAGATAGAATGAAAAGTAACACGGGAGATTGAGAAAGAAATGATCTTAAAGTACATGTAGTTGTTTCAGAACTAAGATATGAATTTAGGGACCAAATTCAATAAAGGAGGGTATAATGTAAGAATCGAAAATATTTCTTACATTTTCTTCCCATGCAAAAGTTCCCCTTCCTTTCCTTTTCTGATACCTTCTCGATTTGGTTCTCACTCTCCTTTGAAGCTTTTTGAAATTGACTAACGCACAACTTCGCTATGTTATATGATATAACAGAGGCATCATAGTCACTCCACCTCGCCTTGTCTTATTGCCCTCTACCGAAACAGTTTTCCACCCTCTCTTCCCCTCATCCTTTTTCTATCTAAAATTGTCTCTCGTGCCTTAAAATCTTGCTATGCTTGCATTTGGAGCTTGTAGAGAAGGCAATGGCTGGATCGTAGGCTTACAAAAACCACTGAAACTTCTGCTCTGTTCCTACCCGAAACCATTGAGGAAGGTAACCCTTCTCTTGCTTTGCCTTCCTCCCTCACGACCGCATCAACTCCTCTGAATCTGTAAATCCATCTACAAGGGGTTTTCCTATACTAGGATTTAAGGAAGCCGAAGAGAAACGAGATTCAAGATCTTGTTGGAGTTGAAAAAGTTATTTTTACTATTTATTAAGTTTTTAGATGTTATGTATGTAAATCCTCCAACAATTAATTTAGAAATTTTAATTTTCTCCAATATCAACATAAAATTAAAATACATTTTTGACTATAGAAGTTAAAACTAAGTAAGTTAATAATTTCTTTTTATTAAAAATTTAATATTAATAACTTATTATATATATACATATATTAAATCTCTATAAGTCTATTAGTATAGATACAATTTAATGAATGAATAAATTTAATTTCATAATTCATTATATCCTATTTTTTAATTGGTGTAGGATCGAGAGTCGAACTGTCAAACTTATAAAGGTACCATGTTTGTCGTGTCGAGGTAAGTAACTGATTTTTATTAGAGGATAAACATAACCTTCTTAGTTAAGCCATTAATTTTTATTAATTGTATGAGATTCAGAGCTAATCTATGGAATAAAAAGACATGTTCTTGCTACTTTAATTTTTATTTGTTATAAGCATCATTTATTGCTCATGATGAAATCAGTAACTATCTTAATTTATTATTGCAAAATTTCTTGCATACTTGAGTTAATCCTGCAATTATGAACTTTCTTTTTCCTGCACCTTATTTTTATGAATATGCATTTGCCATATCACAAGCATGCATGAAATATTGTAGTTCTTACATATGACACCTGTGAAAATAATTTGACATGCTTGTGTGTGATGGTATGTAGGTCAGTAGAACTCTTTTGAAGTTTGGTTAGCCAGATCGACGGACCCACAGAGTGTTGAACCTATAGGAAATCTTTAGACTTCTTTGGGTTGGTATTGATATTCCTAGTTTTAAGGTGTTTATTAAAACCAACTATATATATAATAAATGAAAAACTTAACAATAAGAATCTTGATGGAAAATAGTTGCATGTTTTTATTAGATATGCATATTTGATGTTTATCATTTTCTTGTTGCCTTCCAAAGTTATATATGCACGTAGTAATCATTATAAGCAGTTGTTCATATTGTAGGCCTTTCTTTTTATGCTTCAATAAATACTTGTTATTTGTTGAGTTTGCTCGGCAAACTCACTCGATAATTTTGCATCACAGATTTTATTTAGCCATTAGCAGGACCGTCTCCACTGAAGCCGGTTTTTGAATTTTAGATTTTTGTTTTTGGTTTTTTTTATCAGTATTTATCTTAGCTATTATTGTTTTATTTGGAGTCTAGGTAGTTGTTTTATGTTGTCCTTTTAGTTTTGATTCAAATTGTCTTTTGTTTTCATTTTAGTTGTTTCTGTGGACTATTCAAAATGGATAACATTTACATTCCTAATTTTTTTGCTTGAAAGTCTTTCTTTGAAAAGGCAAAATTGGTTCATTTCATTTCATCATGCTTTGCGTTGTCAGGTGTGCCAAATTTTCAACCCGGGGTGTGACAATTAGGGCCTCCAAATCATAAAAAAAACCATTATGATAAATAAGGATCAAAATGTGCCACCTGATCCTATGATTGCGGAAGTTATTTGCCAAAGAACTAAAATGCCTCTCCCCATAAAGACTTAAATAGACCCTCGCTTGACACTTGAGGGGGGGAGGAGTTGAATTTTAGTGTTCTTTTAGACTGATGACCTGACAAAATTTTTTGTCTTCTATAGCCGCCTACCACCTTTGCCACCATCCACACCCTGCTAGCTGCCATTGGCAACCCGTGCTTGTTACTGATGTATCACAAATATGGTCGTAACGTGTAATGTTGTGTGGAAGACCCGACAATAACTTCCGGCCTTTATAGCTGCCGACCACCGACGACCACCTCCCATTGGCCCCTGTCAACCACCGTTGGCCTCTCTTACTCGTACTGGTCGACAACCCCATCTTACTAACATTGTATCTAAAATGTGATTGTAATATATAACGTTCTATTGAATATCCAACAATAACTCCGATGATTACTTCTTATGACCATCGCATTCAGAATAGGATGATTCATGTTTGACTCATGAAGCTTTCCATACTTTATATAAAGACAACTATTATGTCGGGTGTAAATATATAATCCTGCTCTCCTAGTTATTCACAAATAGTACATATTTGTATTTACAAACTCATTGTAGACTACTTTAACTAGGCCAGGGCCATGATTTTTTTCTTCTATAGGCTTTTTCACATAAAAAAAATTGTTTCTTCTCTTACTACTGTTCAATTATATGTGTGTGTGTCGAATCTAAGTGCAAGACTGAGGCATTCAATAATCACTTTATCATCGCGATTTTTTTGGCACTCAACAAGAACCATAAGTTATAGAGGGACAGCGATATAAATATGTTATAACTAATAATTGTAATGAATAATTTTGATTTGATTAATATGTCCTTTCGGGTGATAGGAAATGAATAATTAGTGACAATCTTATAGTTATGTGTCCTAATAAGCCCTTGTAAGTCTGCATACAGTCTCCATATTAGATATCTATCAATAAAAACTAAATTATTCCATCCCTCCTAAGTTATGGAGTTGGCACATCAAAACGACATTTATCTTGAGCCATAAGCCCTACTCATTTGAATTTCAATTGTCTTTTTACAGGAGCTTCTTGTCTTCTTTAACACTTTTTTTACTTCTTTCCATCATAGCTTTGTGACAAATGCCAACCATCATACTATGCGATTGGAACGGCAACAGAAGGACCACCTTGAATAAGTACAAGTTTCATATGGAAGTTTTCTCTGGATTATTGTTCATCCTTGAAGGAGATGGAGAAGCCGTGAGGGAGCCACAGCTAGGTTTTTACTGAGACAATTAATGGTTTCCGTATCTAATACTTAAAATTTAATATTTACATTTACAACGTTTTTATAATATAAATATATGCATACAAAAATGTATTGCAATTCTAAAAGTTCATGATACTGATAGTTTTGATATAATGAAAGATTTAAATGTTATGCATGTAAATATGAGTGTTTAGATATGAGATAGGTAGATTTATAAGAAATTGTGTTATGCATTTAAATTTTTTTTTTTTAATTAACTTCTGTTTTTCTTTTTTTTAAATCAAGAACTTGATAAAATGCTAAAACACTTTTGACTGATCTTGCATTACGTCAATGAACGTCCAATTTGACAGATTCCAAACAGTATTTTCGTTCGGAGTCCAATGGCAGAGCGCCATGTGTCAAGTGGGGGGGGGGCACTGCATTTCAATACTATTGGCCAGGGTTAAAGGCGGTGGGGCCCACTTGACACGTGGTGCCCCACTATTAGACTCCGAATGCATCCGGAGACCGTATGTATTATTTTTCCTGTTAATAGATAGGGTACATAAGAACCAACATTTCTACCTGGGTAAAATTTGATGTATTGTGTAATGTTCACTGGCTGTGCAGGAAATAGTGTGTTCTATAAGATTTGTGCTTCTTTCGATTTGGGGCTGTGATGCCCACCCAATATTTTATAATTTGTTAACCCTTCCCGATGTCATTTTATATGGGTTTATTTATTTATTTTTCTTTTTTTTTTAATGGCCACACAGGGATGTGAAAATTCTGGCCGGAAAGCTCCGCCGTGGGAAAAGTTTTTGTATCAGAACACCATCAGGTGTCCAATTAAAATTGAAAATGCTTGATCTTGCCTCGAACACCACCATCATGTTGAGTCTTTGTTTCGGACCTTGCTAATGTTAAACACATTTAATGAAGTGCTTTAAAAGTACATAATGAAGTTTGGGTGTAAAACATGTGAATTTTAATGTTTTCTATGCTATGTATGTAATTCTCCCTTAAATCAAATATAGGATGATTATTCATCTCAATATATTTTTTTTTATTGTTAGCTTTATTTTATTTGACTGTACGTATCAAAATACAAAAGAATTAGGTATATGCTATATATTCCTTACTTTTGGGCTAATAATTTGAATGATTTAGTATCTATAAGTGTTCAACGATTTGAATATAGAGATCATATTTTATTACTCTTTTCTTTCATATGGTATCCATTGGATCACGAGTTCGCAGACTCACTCACCACCTAGACAAGGGAAATTCAAAAGAGTGAGAAGAGAAGAGAGAGAAAGAGTGCTTGTGTGTGTGTGTGTGTGTGTGTGTGT